ATTAGCTGTAAACATGCTGGTTTTTTCCTGTGGAATAGTCAAAGAAAATCATTATGCAATAATTATGCCAGAATAGGCTATACTATAGAGCTTCATGGTAAATCTCCTTGTGTTGACAAGTTCACTGGCTGCCAAATAGACACAGAGGCCCTGAAGTTATTGCTGCCTCTTTCTGCTGCAGTATGTCCCACAGGGGGTTTCACAGATGAGGACTGAGAACATGAAGTGGATTTTAAAATCTTTTATTTTTTAAACTGTGGGAGAACTGAGCAAGGAGCCTGATATTTTTCTCCTAATTTAAGACTTCAATTTTTCCACTTAAGAATAAAATCCCTATATCTCTGAACAGGCCAAGAGACCTGCTACTGTGAACCACTCTTGGCTGCTGGCTCTGGAGCTGCAGGCTTGGTGGGTGCAGGCTGGCAGTGGTGGCAGCTGGGCCTGGCAAGCACAGTGGGGTGAGAAAAAGGCCAAGATGACCCCCCAAGCAAGGCCCTGATCCCTCCAAGAACCTCAGAGCTCCTCTGTGTCACAGTGAGCTGCTTTTATGTGCTAAGGTTCCTCCCACTGTGGATAGGACACTCTGGTCAGAGAGAGAGAGGAAGCTAGAGGAGCTTTCCCATTAGTTGGTCTGGGAAGGTTTAGGGAGGCAGAGAGAAAGAATGGCAAACAAATGGTAAACAGTCTGCAGGTGGTGTTTTGAATAAGTTGTTTTTCTCATAAGACGTTTACCAAAGGGTGTCTTCTTAATTAGCCAATCATGTGAAATGTGTTGATCCAATGACCAGTTGGGTCCACCTGAGCAGGGTATAAAAGAAGGGATTCCAATAAACCAGGGCCTCTAGCCTCTTAGCCTTCTGATCTAGGGTCTGTGTCATTAATTATCCATTCCTGACTCAAGGTGACATCCCACACCTTGATTTTCTGTGCATTCTTCGTGGGCCTCCAGGCAAGTGAGGGGTCACTGAGTGTCTGGCCCTGGAGGCTTTCTCTGGCCTGACCAAGGGGAAACCTCCAGTGGACAGGGCTGCCAGCACATGTACAGCCCCTGTGAGAATAGAACATGTGCTGAGGCATACATAAAAATCAGATTGGTCCCTCTCACTGGGCATTTTTTATTAAGTGCCATTTTCCATCTGTATCTGTAAAGCTGTGATTGTGTTTTTGGAGTTATTTCAATCAGAAAGTGTGAGTAAAGTCATACTGGATAACATGAGAAAAGATAGTTTTTTTCCCCAGGAGGATGAACAGAGTCCATATTTGATATAAATCCACTGAGACACAAATCTTGGTGTCAGAAAACCAAATGGGTGTCACTGTTGTCATCTCCCTTTATACACCATGTGCAATGGAATTCTTGCTGAAGAGGGCCATTACTGAGCCTTGTGCTAACACATTCCAGAGCAAGGGAGTTCTGTGCATCACAGCAGCATGGATGAATGCATTGACAGGTGCCCAGGAAAATGAAGTAGCAGCAGCTCCTGAGATTAGCCTGCTTGCAAGTTCACTTGCATTGCTCAGAAGCACCTTCTTCCTCTGCTCTTCTGCCTCTGGAGAGCTTGGGAACTGGATGGGCTGTTAGGGAGCACAGGTTTCATAGAGAGAGCAGGGAAAAGTCAGGAAAGCTGCTGCAGCCATACTGTGTCTTACTTTCTCATGTATCTTCAGTTTTCTGTTCTCTTTATGGAAAACAGCAGAGGGGTATTTTGAGTGATTCCTAACAGGGATCCCTAACAGTTTTCTACCACCTGTGACTTAGAAACACTGCTGAAAATGCAACCTCTTTGCTTTAACTTTCTTCTAATTATACTTGGGCTGCTGTGATGTGAATGATGGTGAATGGCCAAGGTAGGACAGACTTGTTCAGAAAAACCTTCCTTGGAAAGGTGGCAGATTGTCAGGAACTCAAAACTCCATCCTGGGCTCTGCTGCAAATCTGCCTCGGAGTTTCCCAGCAACAGCCACACGTTGCCAAGAACATTTGAAAAGAAGGCTTCAGTTATAGTTTCCTGATCTCCTGAATTGTCTGGCAGGAAGCTCTGCTGAAAGCACCACCTGTGCCACAGCCAGGGACAGCCCTGCAGGTGCCCTGTGAGCTCCCAGGCAGCTCTGAGCCTGACCTGTAACATCTGGAGCTCATCCCCAAGTCAGACTGACAGCTGTGCCCAGTGCTGCTGCCATCTGACAAACACTCCTGTTCCTGGGTGGTTAAACACCAGCTCCTGCCCAGCCACGCTCACAGAGTGCCCTAAGCAAGCTTGAACTTCTAGGGCTCTGGATGGCACATGGGAACAGTGCTTTGGGACTTTTCTCCTGCAGTGCCACTAGCAATTTTTTGTTCTAATGTGTTGCTTGGCTACAAGTCTTTCTTTGCATCTGTAAGCTCACATAAAAAACTAAATTGACTTCTCTGGCAGTGTTGGCTGTTGAAGAATATATTGCTTTACCACCAGGAGTCAGAAAATTAAAATGTTCTATAAGGCATTTCTTCCTTGCCACTTGGCCTGTTCAAATATCTGTGCCATCCTTTAAATAAAATCTACTCATATGTGGCAACTGGAATAATTGATGCAGAAAATCACAGAGCACAGAATTCTGTATTTATTGTCTGTTTTTCAGTGGCATGGCCATTGCTAGTTTTAGTGGACTTGATGGCAGTTCTTCCAAGTGAGCTATGTGGCATATCTATATTAAGGCTTCTTGCTCTCATTAGCCTAACTTTGCCATCCTAGTTGTTCAACATGGGCTCTCTAAAAAATTGAGTTCATTTCTGTCAGTGATATGGTGGGCAGTGAGGAGGCAAAGCACAGAACACACCGAGATGGCCATGTCTGGTTTCTGCTTGACTGACTGGGGCTGGTCAAGGAGCAGGGGAAAAGATTTCTGCCAGGAAATGATGAGAGTTGTACTGCTGTAGTTTGAATAATTTATCCAATATGCCTGAGTGAAGCTGTGGCTCTTGTTTGCTGACAGTCAAATAACAACCTATAACCCCTCAAGTATTTATTTGGTACTTACTGGGGTGTGGGGAGTTAGCTTCCCCTCTAATCCTTATCCTTACTACCAGTCCTGCAGGAACAGCTCACCCATGGTGCAGCTCAGAAACAGAGGGTTGGTCTGGCTGGAACTCTCACAGCCTCCTCTCCTCAGGCTGGGGTCACCAATCCTCCCTGCAGGGCCTCAGAAAGAGAAGACAGAAGTTGCAATAGAAGATGGATCCACCTCAAAGACATCACACAGAGTTTTCACATATCTGCCAAGGTTTTAATGAAAAATTCATCGCTTTGGTTTTGCTGACCACTTTTCTTTGGTCATATCCTGATCTGAATATATGATTCCTGATTGGTTGTGTCCATTAACTGAGCTTCCAATTAAACTCACATTTAAAAATTTAGCAGTCAATTTCGAAAGGCTGGGTTTAGTTAAATGAAAAAGTTGTCAAAGGAGCTGTGTTAAAGGCATTGCAGCTAAATTCTGAATGAAAACAGGTGTCATGTTTTCCTGAATATTAATTTTGATTAAATCCTTGACTCCAACAAAACTTCTCTGAATCATTCTACTATAGCTTAACTACTTTGTGTTGGAAATAATGTAGGTGTCCCACTTCTGATGCAGTAGCTAATTAGGTTAACAGCCCTAAACATGTATTACACTGTAATTAAAAATTAGGCCACACTACCCACAGCAAACTAGAGACATATCTGGCTGCAGAAAAGTTTGCCCTTTATTTTGCACCTCTCTGGAGCATGAGTGGATTTTACAATGCAGAGAGAAGAAAGAGTACATTATTCCTTCCCCTATCCTGTTTCTACTATCTAGTACAATTTCAAGTGCCTCTTAAAAAAAAAAAAAAAGTTACTTCAATAAAAGGCTGTAGTTTTCAGGTCATGCCCACCTCTTCTAAAACACTTTCATTTTATATTGTGTCTGACTGGCTCAGTTGTGTGGAACAAGGAGGGCAGTCTGAAACTGGGGAAATTTCTAAATATGTTCAGCAGTTTAAACTCTGGACATCCGTAGTGCTACAGTAATAGTGGATAGTGCTGTTTTTCCAAGGTTTTCTGGATTTTTAGAAATTGTTGTTTACCCTTTTTTGGATATTTGTGTCTTCTAGGGGTAGATACTTAATTTAAAGCATTGAGCTTGTACACTTATTTCCCTAGATAGTTTACCTAATTACAAGAGACAGGTTCCTTGTATTATCTCAGATTCTCTCAAATCATCCTTTGCAAGTCTCTCACCTTTCCTTTTACCTGGAGGAAGATTAGGGTAAGAATATGAATATTTTGGCAGTATCTCCCTAGAGCTATTGCCATCACACAGCAGAATTGGTGAGACCCTCATGAGACCTCTGGTCTGTGTGTCTCTGAATTTCTTTAAGAGGTATCTGTGGAGCCTCTGTCCTTGGCAATATGCAGAACTTGAGCAGACAAGGCCCAGAGCAGCCTGATCTGCCTCTGAAGTTTGTCCTGCTCTTGTGTGGGACATTGCATCTCCAGGGGTCCTGGCTGGTGTAAATTATTCTGTGCCACTAAATTCAACAGCTCAGGGCATAGCCTTGCAAGAGTTTCCTTTCAAGATCTCAATTGAGAACAGGTTCATCCCCTGAAGCAGGAAATGAAGGAGAATACATAAATCTTATATGTTTATAAATGATACAACTATAATTCTAATTTGGATAGCAAGAAACATGCTCCCAGTGTATCATGTATTTTCCCTTATGAATTTCTGGGGTTCACTACTGTTCTTCAAGCTCTAGCCATTCCTTGAAAGACAAAGTGCTCAGAATCCAGCAAAAAATCATTTATGCTCTGTCTAGTAAGTCAGGAGGAAAAACAGTTCAGGATCTGGGGAGGGTTTTACTTGCTCTAAGTCTACTGTGTTGCTCTCTGCAATGGTGCTTGAATATGCTGGATGAACAGAGCATCCTGGATGCTGCACTGAAGTGATCTGGACGGGCTCTGAGGGCAGCTTTCCAGCCCATGTGGCTGACATGGATAATGCGCCTGTCTCTTCCGATGAGCGGCACGGTGCGGAGAATCCAGCAGCTGCAGGAAACCAGACTGAGAGCATGTGCCAAGAGGATTGTAAGATGGCCTGTTAAGTGCTGAGAACATCGTTTGGAGTGTGTCTTGTTGAAAAGATCTGATTCACTTGGCACTTGTTTCCTGCTTCAGCAGCATGTCTGGAAACAGAAAGCTGCTGTGAGTCAAAGCAGGGATTTGGGCAGATAGGAGCAGGGAGGAGAGAGCACCCATCTGCTGGAGCTGTCAGCAGCGAGTGAGGCTCCCCAGGGGCTGTCCACACACAGGAGCTGCCTGGGTGGGAGCTTGGAAGGAAAGCCAGATGGCTGCAGTTGCTTGCAAGAAGGTTGATCTGCCAAATAACTTTTTACATCTGTAATGTGTGAAAAGGGATCAGCCCTTGACTTCAAAGTAACAGAGTGTTTGTCACGCTGTCTGATACTTTGCTGGCTTTTTTGCTGGCTTTTTGCTTCCCAGACAGCAGGGTTTGCTACAGCCATCCTGCACACACATCACGAGGCTCCTGGTGCTTAATCTGGGAGCTGCCTAGCTAGCAGTGCTGCCACTGCAAATGGGGGGGATGTGGTGCTGTTTAGATTGGCAGCAAACACAGAGTTCAGAGTTATGTGTATCTGGCTGAGCTCCAAATGGATAATTACATTCTGCCTGCCTAAAATTCCCCCGTACAGCTTTTTGAAATCCACTGCTCAGAGTTGTTTTTTATAATGTTGCTATCTGCTCTTAATCAGTAACTACCTTCCACTCTACAGGCAACTCCATTTCAGTGACAAGTGAGGTGACCTTGTATGCATTGTAGTGTCCCCATCATCAATTGCAAATCCATGGAAAAAAAATTGAACTTTTTCCTGCATGCTTCATCCCAGCTGCTGTCTCCCCAATGATACATTTCTTTTACCATGTACTTGTAAAGTAGTTGCCTCTAGTTTACCTAAAAATTAATTTTTCAAAGTTCTTCTATCATACAGTTACTTTCTGCTGGTTTTGCCATAAGTCTTTTCTACCTTTTCTTGGTTTTTATAATTTTTTCATCATGTGCAAAAAAAAAAAATCACTGTCCTGTCCCTTTTGTATTAAAGTGACCTGAAATTCAGTGATGAGAAAGAGATAATTCCAGATGTGGACACCCCCTGCAGAAGCTCCCATGAATCTGGCCGTCATGTTGAGTCATACCATTCAATCAGATATGATGAAGTAGTACAAAAGTAGGTGGATCAATATCAGCACCATCACTACTGTAGGAGATGTTGTCATCCCAGGGACTGGTCCATCCACAGGGTCCATGAATTCCATTTTCCCATTTCCAGGGCCCTCTGAAAGCTGATCTTGGAGTGCTTACCACACAAAGCTCGGAAGTGGGCAGTGCCAGGTGTGGGTATTGAAGGCTGAAATTATACAAGTTCTCCTATATTTAACTGGAATGAAGCAGATACTTGAGTTCATCTGGTTTGTGCTTTTTAGGCTTAGGCTTGCCACCATTCAGTAAACACATCATTTTAGCTCTGTTTCTCACATAGGGTATCTGCTTGGGAGTGATTAAAAATGTTAAGCTGTGCAGGTTGGACTTCACATGTGTTTTGATGCCATTTCCATCCTGTCTCCTGCAGCCTCCCCTAAAAAGGAAAAAAAAAAATGCAGACTTGTTTTAGGAGAATATGTTCCACACTGGGGACATACATGGACAACACATGTGCAGCACATTGGAGAGTTGCAAACTTGTTCTCAGACTTTTCAAAAAACATCACAAGGAACCTCCCACCTAGAGATCTGCTGTAAAAAAAATGAATCTGTGGTGTTCTTGCTAATAACACCATGTTCCATGTTTCAGTAAGCTCTTTATGCCCTGAGGCTTTGAAAAAAACAACAAAACAAACAATTGCTCCAGCAGTGCAAGTTCTAAAGCCTGGTTTAGGGCAGGAGTGTCAGCCACTGCAGAGTATCACAGCTACACTTGTACTGTGGCTCTTCTTTCAGGGGAAATCGCTGGTGCTCAAACTCCCACATTGTTTACTTGTTCTCCTAGAGTGTATTTCTGCCACAGACAGTCCTGTGAAGCAGATTACATGATTTAATATTTTGCAGGAGTTGTAATAACGATGCAAGTAGGACTGTCCAACATGGAGCATCTTCCATTTCAACCAGTAGGTGAAGCTGAGGAGATTTATTGGAAAGAAATACTGCCTTCCTGCCATTAATAAAACTAAAGGGTTTGGGTAGTGCTGCACAGTTATTTCTCCCGGTGAATTTATGAGGGCATTTGGGGAGAGCTGTTTTTCTTCCCCACGCTCCCTCTCCCTTGCAGTGAGTGATGGTTGTGCCGTGCTGGCTGCGAGGCGAGCAGAGAGCAAACAGTTCATAAATGGCTCTGCCTTCAGGAGAGCTCCTGGAGCACAGCAAAGTGCTCTGATGGAGGCAGCAGCCAGGCTGGGCAGGCTGTAAAACAAGTGCATGGCTACTTAAAGAGTTGTCTTTGCTCTGTTTGTACCTCACTCGCTGCCCAATACGGACTGAGTGGAAATGTTTTCAGTAGAAATATCTCTGAGTCTTGGGCTCATCTCCAGTGTGCCCTGTCTGTCAGCTACTGCCCTGTGCTTGTCCTGGTGATCTCTGCTGTGCTGCACAGGGCAAAAAACCCTCAATCTGTGCTGGGAACAACTCATCAACTTGTAAAATCACATATCTAATTCTACTTATTCCTTGCACACTGTATAGAAGGAAAGATTGTTACTATTTTTAGTTTGTTTCTTAACGCCACATAGCTCAGAGAGGAAGTTTGTTTAGTTTCTATGGTTCAAGAAGGACACCTTCTAAGTTCATTAAGGAATGAGTTCATTAAGTTCATTAAGGAATTTATTAAAGTTTTTAATAAATTATGTTCAAAATCTAATCTAGTAGAAAAGTGTCCATTTTTCCACTAAAATCTGTAGATATTTTTCCTCTAAGGGCAACAAGATAAATATATTGTTTTCACTAAAACACTCATTTCTAATAAATGGCACTGACCTACTTTAGTGCTGGTACGTGCGTAATTGGGGAAAAATAATGTGTTAATCTTTCTCTAAATATGGGAGTGTCCTGCAAAGCTAAAACATGTAAACACAGGGGGAAAAAATTGGAAATAGAGCCCTGAATCCACATTGTCTGCCTGCTGTTTGCCTTTAAATATTGTGCTGTTAAAATTATAGCTGTGAATTTGTCAGCCTCAGAGACCTGTAAAATACTCAGCTGATGTGGGATAACCCAACATATTCTTCACAGTTCTACATCTTTACAAGCAATAGTTTGATGTGAAATCCTCTTGGGATGAGTGTAAAACTGGGACAGTTGTTTCTGAATTTTTGTCCTTGCCTTTGACAGTAACAGTCATATTTCTATTTGCAAAATGGGTGGTTCATTTACATCACCAGCTCTTTTCAATGACTACCTGGTTAATGATTACAAAACAGACAGAGGGCTTTAAAACAACTGGTAAATTCTTTTTTATCCTCCTCTTATAGCGATTAGAGAGAGAATCATTTGATATGGCACCATTTAATGTTTGACCTCTCTGCCTGTTTCCTCATGCTGTCACAGTTCACTTGTGTACTGGGTTGTGCAACCTCCCTGTCTTGCCTCTGTATTGAAAACATCTCTCAAAGGCATTTCTTTTTGTGACCTTAGCATCTGTGTTGCTATTCTTTAGGTAACCAACCTGCAGCACACTGTGTGACCTCTAGGAGAACTGCCTCATGTAGTACCCCTAATCCCAAGAACCATCATCACCCCTTGGAAATGTCAGCAAAAAGTGGAACTTGCTACACAATAGTCTTGAAATTGTTTTTGTTCCTTTGAAATTTCTGTAGGAAATCACCCTGCTGTGTCTGTATAAACTTGTATTTTATGTGATTAAGGAAAACTTGTTTTAGGAGAGATGTCTGCTTCATTTCTTACTGGTGTCAAATCAAGAATTCCATCAAGTGCATACTTAATATAGGAACAATTTGATAAAAGTACTGGCAAGTGTGGCAATGGGAAAGTATTAATGAGTGTTCACAGGAAATCAGGCTATGCAATCTCATGCCTCAGACAGCTACAAAAGCAGGAACATTGAGAGTCCATTTTTAAAAACAGCCCAATTTCTCTTACCAGTGAGAGCACACCTCCTTGCTAACAATTATCCCTTGTGAACAAGGTTCCTAAAGTGCATTTATTGCCTTTTGTGCCAGTGTTCCATGAAGAAGTTGCTGGGACATTACAGATGTGCCAGACTGTTGTGTAATGGCAAGGGTGACCACTGTGACCTGTGGGTTTTGTCCAAGGGGAACTTACTGCTGAAAATAATTTCTTTTGTAGAGTTCACATGGTACAGTAACAAACCATATCTTGAGGCACTGCAGTGCACTGATGAATGAAAAGATGGTGCAGTGGGTACAGAAATAGATGATTTTGCCAAGAAACTTTGTCTTCTAACTGCTAAGAAAAGCAACAAAACCATTGTGAAGTACCTTCCAGTTTAGACTGGTGTAATAGTAACTACAGATTGCTGTGGTTATCTTATAGCCATCACCCACTCGAGCAGTGATCACAGTTATTGCTCTTGGGAGGACTTGCAAAGGTCTCACCTCTTATTGCAGGTCATGGAACTCCCAGCACCCCCTGGTATTTATAACTGCAGTATATGCTCCTGTAATGAGAAAGGACACAGAGATCAACACTCAAGTTAGAGAAAATAATTAAGGAATAGAAGAGAAGAAAGAACACAATTTATTGAAATTTGTGAAGTTGTTAAATCTGTCTCTGAATTTAGAGGTTCCACTGTTTGCAGCAGGTCAGCTGGGCTTACATAAGATAACAAATGAGTAAAATTCCAGGAAGTTAGACTGACAAGCTCATAGCACTCCCTACTCTAAGCAAAGCTGTAAAAAAATTATGGTTTCCACCATGCACTTCTGGGTTGTAGCTAAACCCAGCTCCCTTAATAGCTGGAGATGACTGAGTCAAGTGCCACGTGTAACAGCAGGCTGTAATCAGCTTCAGTGTCAAGATGTAAATTGCAATCCAGTGCTTTTAAAAGCAAGAAAAGTCGGTTTGAAATCACTGTGGTAATGCATAAGGAGACTGCTCTAGCAAAAACACAACCTTTGGCAGTGGCACAGAAACTCTTTCACACGCTCTGGGACCAGTTGTAACACTTCAGAATTTGTGAGGAAAACTTGGCTGAAAGTCTCTCTTGTGTCAGCAGTATAAGCAAGAAGAGGATGATAAGAACTTTTTTCCTTTGAATCAAGAACAGACTCATGACCTAATGTGATTTCAGTAAAATTACTGTATGTAAAAAGTCAGCCTGGAAGTGAAGTCATTTATACATCAGACTCAAAGAGCATTTACCTTACTAATGCTTTTGGTTGTGTTTGACTTTGAATGTCATCTGGTTTTGATTATAATTAAATGAATTGAGTACTTTGAATAACCAGTCTTTTAGTTTGTAACAGAAATTAGCCAACCTCAGACTTTAAAGGCAAACAAAAAATATTTGCTGTTTTTATTTGAACAAACCCTGGCTACAAATCATCAGAGTGACTGTATGCTTCATGTTCTGCTCTTTAAATACATACTAATTAAAACCTGAATTTTTTGCTAGTGTTTATGATAGGATAAAGTTCTACAACCAAACAAGTATCTTGCAGAACAGAAGAACAAAACAGGTTTTCACGAGTTAGAATTTAAAGTCTTAAAATTTAGAATTAAGAGAATAGCAGAAAAGATGTTTGGATTGGCTTGTTTGGGTTTTTGTCATTTAATGCAAATTTTCAGAATGTTTTCTCAGTCTGATACTTATCATTCTGCTTTAAGAACATATTTCAGACTTGAGCAATCTTAAGCAAAACTCTAATTTCTTCATTTCCATTGTTTAAGTAGTAATTAACAACAAATATAATGATAATATTGTCTCAGATGTTGCAACCAGAAGTAAGTGAAGATCAGGTTTGAAATTAGATGTATTAAGTTCATTTTGGGTTCAGCCTTAACAGTTGCTGTTCTGGTATCACTTGGATTCCCCTCTGCCTCTCATTTCTGGGATCAATCAACTGTTTGCTCATTGTCATGATTATTTTGCATTCACATAAATGATTGCACAATTCATTTGTTGCAAAGCAACAAAACAGTAAGCCTAGGGAACCTTCAGAAGGACAGAGGCATGTATTTGCTTTTTACCTTAAGGTTTCATGTGAGATTTCAGACCAGAAATAAAAATCTGCCAATGTTTGCTCTTCATTTCCTTATCAGAGATCTTGTGATAAACTTTACTTGAAACACAGAGTTTGAACATAGATTGGGAGGGGAAGTTTGAATTTGCCAGAGATTGTGACAAGGCAGTATCTGTGCCCA